ACAATTTGTTTACAGGAAAAAAATTCCACCCAGTGCCAGCTTAAACAGATATGTTTCATTTTAGCTAGGATGTTGCAGGCAGGCTTTTTATACATGCAAAACAAAGTTGTACTTTGCAGCCCGTTATTCATAACCCTATCACCTTCCTCTTACAAATATAATTCAATCAAGCTATAAGGCTACATCAGGCCTGAACAACGCGGAAAGCAGCGAGGGCCATATTACTCCAAAGAAAACAGCTGTGGGCCGCAAGTAGGTATGCGCTCCCAAAAAAATACCAAACATGCGGGCTAAATATTTTTGTCGAGCCTCCCCCCCCCCCAAAAAAAAACCACCCACCACCATGCATGTTTCCACATGGCCCCCTGACATTTGTCTCTCCTGCACCCTGCCCCTTGGTGCCTTCCCCTTTCTCCTTACCTGCCCTCCTCCCCTCAGCATAAACCCCTTCCCCTTCCCGTACCTGGCTTCTCGCTTCCAGGTTGGGGGGCTGCTGGAGCCTTTTTGAATCCGGCGGTCTCTGGCCGTGATGTCACCTCGCCACATCACACCAGCATCCTGGCATCCCGCTCTCTGTCTCATGCCACAGCTGCATGCAGGCAGCCCGGCAGCAAGAATCACTGCACTTTCCCCTCCCCAGAAGCACTCAGCTCCTCCGCCCAGCCAGCAGATCAGATGGGGCCATGCCGCCCGTAGTTGGCACGGGCCACACAGTGAACCCCTGCGGGGCCGCATGTTGTGCAGGCCTGGGCTACGTCTACACTGCAGGCTTTTTGCGTAAGAACAGCTGTTCTTGCGCCAGTAAATTTACAGTGAAGTGCTGGGCCAGAGGGCTTCCTGAGCAAGAGTTATTCCTCTCCCCACAAGGAATAAGCCCTCTTGTGCAAGAAGGCAGTGTGGAAGGGCAACGGGTTTCTTGTGCAAGAAACCCCTATGGCTAAAATGGCTATCAGAGCTTTCTTGCGCAAAACAGTTCTTGTACAAGAAGCCTGCAGTGTAGACATAGCCTAAATGTTTGAACAGATTATTGCCAGGCTGGTGATCTCTTCAATTCAGCCCTCCTCCACCAGCTTGCAAGTATAAAACCCTGTCATGGCCACTTCACTTCTGATTGATAGGGACAGAGTTGATTTCTATTCAACCCTTCCCTCCCTCTCTCCCTCCCTTTAAAAAAAACAAAACAAAAAAAACCAACAATGCTACTGCTTTTTAGCAAGAAACTTTCTTTGGGAATGGTGCAGAACACTCCAACCCAATTTTAGGAACAACTTCCTGTACTTAGAGGCTGTAGGCAACAGAAACATTATTGCAGTCATTGCATTCCCACAGCTGATGATAACTGCAGTGTAGGACAGAGGTATTTCAGATCTAATAAATCTTTTGTTCAAACACCAACCAGGTTTCTACTGGAAAACTGCAAGTGTACCAGGGCCTATGGCTTGGTAGCAAGGAGCCAGTAGCTCTAAGAAATTTTGGATTTTCAGAATTGTGGTTTATTCCCCATTGGAATAAACCCACTTTGCTGAAAAGTTTCCACGAGACAAAAACATCATTATGGAAATAGTTGAAACACTGTTTCAGGGGACAGAAAGGGGGAAAAAAATGGAACTGACAATGTCAGGTTTGAATGATCTATTTCCAAAGTCTGACAGCCTTGTCATGCAGACCATCATTGGGCAGAGACTCCCCAAGGACTACTAGGGTATGTCTACACTACCCCGCTAGTTCGAACTAGCGGGGTAGTGTAGACATACCCTAGTAGTCCTTGGGGAGTCTCTGCCCAATGATGGTCTGCATGACAAGGCTGTCAGACTTTGGAAATAGATCATTCAAACCTGACATTGTCAGTTCCATTTTTTTCCCCCTTTCTGTCCCCTGAAACAGTGTTTCAACTATTTCCATAATGATGTTTTTGTCTCGTGGAAACTTTTCAGCAAAGTGGGTTTATTCCAATGGGGAATAAACCACAATTCTGAAAATCCAAAATTTCTTAGACCAAAAATCTTAACCAGCTCCAAAAGGGAGATTGTGTGCATGTTTTGTTTTGAACCCATTCTCTCTGTTAGTGTCCCTCATTACAACTTTTAGTGATGGGAGCTATGCTGTTTCATTAATTATAAAGCCTAGATCCTGTCCTGGTGCCTTTGTCCAGAGCATAAAAATCTGGATCAGAATGTAATTATCTCCTACCTAATCGGGAAGAACATGTCCACTAAGCTAGCCACTTGCTGTGAAGAAAAAGGGGAGGAAAAAGCAAGTTGTAGTACCCAAAACAATTTGGCAGCATTTTAACTTAGTATAACTTGCAGTGCAAGTTAGCACCATCCACATTAGGGATGTTAGATACTGTGTAACTGAATAATCATATAACCACATCAAATTTTAGTAGCTGCATGACTACTGGATAGTGCCCGGGGCGGGCCCAAGCAGCTGGTGTGCTCCCAGTCCCAACTCCTGGGGAGCCCCCTGCCACCCTGCACTGCTGCCACAGGGTGCAGAATGGCAGGTCCATGAGAGGCAGCAGTATGGGAGAGGGGAAAAAAGACAGGTGGAGCCCATGATCATGGGAAGCTGGCCCCCAAGCACCAGCTCCTGCCTGCTCTGCCTCCCACAGAGGCACCTCTCTGCTACTGCCCCTTCCACACTGAAAGTAACATGTAGTATGATGGGGTAGAATAGGAGCAACTAGAAAGTTTTGCATATAGGAAGGAGGGATTTGACACCCATGAGAGAGTGTGGAAATCTCAGGCCCCTGAGAACTCCATATATATCTTCCATTCCCCTTTGAATTGTGGGCAAGGGTAGAAGTGAGGACACAACATTCTGTGGAGCAGGGGGAACTTAAATCTGCACACTTTATTCATTCCTCATTAGTACAAAACACTAAATTCCCTAGTGTGCACTGACCTACTGCAAACATCTAGATGAGCCCTTCAGTGAAGACAAAAAAAACCAAACCAGCGTTCCTTATTATTCCTTTTCATATTCAGTTTAATAAAAGCTTGTTTTAATTTACTTGAAACCACAGTGTCAATGTACCAAAGGCTTCAGTGTCACAATGCTACAGAAACTCAAGTGCTCTGTGTAAAGCTGCCATGTGGCACAAAAAGTCCACAATGCCTTATCTGGGTAAATCGTCAGATTCAGTATTTATTTTTAAACAATTCTGCAGAAACTGTCTGCTTTTACAAACATCCTTATGGGACGAATCATGCATCTTTACCATGAAAAGAGTCCTCATCCTATGAAAGGTAGACCCATAAGGTCAGAGGAAAAGTTTGCTGGTTCTGCCAATACAAAGTGATCAGAAGGCTAGGGTAGCCATAAAGTCAAATAGCTACACTCTGGGCTGCAACTCTGTTCCCATTTTCAGTCAGCAATCCTCTTTTCCAGAACATAGGCAGTATGTAACAAATGGAAACATCCTATTTTTAATTCCCTTTATGTGGCCTATTCAGCCAAGAGTGAATAGGGAACAGGAAGAGCAGCTACTAGCTGAGAGTAGCTCTCAATTTCCATCATCTGTTTCCCTCCCTGTACCTCTAGAGCATATCTCCAAGGAATACAATTTCTTCCAATGGTCAGAAGGTAGTCTCAATAGGAGTAATCTGCTGAGTCCAGATGTACTGACTGCCAGGTTTTCTGTTGGTCACAGGAAACCTAGTTTAATAGGTTTTTGGCACTATACATCAGATTTCCAGCATAAATAGATGATGGCCAGGAATTCAGAGTAACTGAGCAAGAATGTGTCATTTTCCTTATTTCAAAGATTTCCCAACTTTATTAAACACAGTAACATTATGTAGGGGAGAAAAGTGCTAGCCAATACAGAGCTAGCCATAGTGCTGCTTGCAGGGCAGGCTAGGATATGTCATGTTCAGCATGTCACCTAATCATTATTAAAACACTGGTTCTTTAAATCAAAGACAGCTCAACAACGCCCCCAATTTTTCATCTTAAACTGATAAGATGCTGAGCACCATTCCTCCTCAACTGCTGCCTGCGTTGTCATAGTCAACATTATGCTGGCTAACTTCATTCTCCACAACCACAAGGAAATTTGGTGGTATATTTCCCCTAGAGAGCAGGGGAAATTCTGTTTTAATCCTTTTGCTTTGGAGAAACTTGCTGTCCCTTTGGCCATGTTTCCACTTCCTGTGCCAGAAATCGATCTTCTGGTGTGGCTCTAGTAAAGCTGAGGGCGCCCTCAGTCGGCGCTGGTGCTCCTCGCAGTTACAAATAGTAAAGGGAAGCTGATGGAACTGTTTGCTCCCACACACCTCTCACTGCGAAACGGTGCCAAACTTGGCTTAAGGTATGCAAACTCCGGCTACGTTATTAACATAGCTGGAGTTGCAGACCTTATGCTGACCTTCCAAGTCTTGTAGAGATGTGCCTTATACATGCATGTAGATAAGTGCATGCTACAGAAGTGGAATCCTAGAGCAGGATAATGCAACTGTAGAAGCATCCCTTCTTCAAAGAAGAAAAGAGGAAGAGGAAGCTATTTTTGGATTGAGACCCAATTTCTTGAAGACACCTGAGGGTTGCTGCCTTCACTGAAAGTGTGTTACGCCATTTGAAAAGAGACAAAGGAATCAGGAAAGTTCATGCTGCAAGCTTTTATATAATCATGAAGTCACATCAGGGACATAATGGCTCCCAACCCTCCTCAACCTCAGTGGAATCAAGAATTTGGGACAATCCAACTCCTTAAACTCTAGCTTTCAGACTCCTTGATAAACAAAGAACAAAAGCCACCAAGGGCTATAGAATCAGCATTGTTTTCATAAGGACAAGATGTGGTAGTGTGGATACTCCTTGGCTGGAGGGTATTGAGTATTATAGCTTTGCTAGAGGTAAGGTCAACTTAATAAAAAGAGTTATCTGAGTACAAGTAGCATAAAAAGAGTCTACAGCTGAGACCTGATGGATGCTTTTGCACACAGTACACTAAACTGTACCAGAAAGACATTAACTGTATGTGAACTTTCCCTCTATTGTGCTGAATCCTTGAATTGACAGGAGACAACAAGCTTCCCTTTACTGACATACATGTTTCATATCACAAAACATGAATGACCCACTGGTGACATGACCCACTGGTGCTACAGACAAGCAATTGCCTTTTCCTTTGTTCTCCTCCACAGCCCAGAAAGTTAAAAAATACCTACAGGTCTGTCTACACTAAACAGACCCCTAACAGGTAACCAAGCAAGGTTGCAAAACTTGTGACATACTTACACGTAGTACAGGGTGCGAATCATATTTGTTCTCTCCTTACCACTCAGTTAAGAGTTAGCAGTATGTCATTTAAGAATGTACAGAAATTAAGTTTTAGAATTCTTAGCCCAACTATTATTACTACTAATACCGTTGTTTCATATGGCAGAGGACAGACCAAAGTGCAATGTTTTACTTTGCTAATGACTTTCTGCTAGCAAACGACAAACTGCTAATGACCATACTAATGATAAGGAGCTTCTAAATCTTTGCCAGAGCCTCTGACATTATTTAAGTTTGTAGCCCTTTTTGGGTCTTATAGGGAGTAAAATCTTTGACTGTTATCAAGCATTATTTTCTTAGAAAGCCTCTCCCAAACAAGTTTCCATCTGCAAATTTTAAGGCATAAAATAGAAAATGGAAAACAAAGAGCAAGAATACAAAATCATGCAGCTGTTTTGAAGGGGAACATCACTGGGAAAACAAATAGATGAGAACAGGAGAAGGAATAAATTCATCTCATTTTCCAAAGTTGCTGCACCTAGGAAACTACAAATATTTTAAGAGGATTTTCTGAAGATTAATATTTGTATGGCACTTTGCAAAGTTTTATTAACAGTTAATTCTCACTCAGCTCTTCACTCATTTTTCTTCCCATAAATTAAAGCTCAGATCATATTGCATCACAAAAAAGTAATAAAATATTAATAGCCTTAAAATGCTAAAGAGGAAGAAGTAAATTGTCACACTATAAAAGCATAACATTTTGCAGAACACCAAACAGAGCCAAGTAAGCAAAAAGTAAACAACTCTTTTCTAGTGTTCCATTTTTAAAGGAAAATAGTTTTTGATAACCCGCATAGTTTTCTGGGCTGGCAACAGAACAAACAAAAAAATAAAATAGAAATTAATAAGAGTAGAGATCACTGTCTAACTTTTGATAGCTGAGACTTCGGCATCAATTTTAAAGGTCAGAAAGAATTCCCTACTTTACAAAATACAAATTTCACATTTTGGGCTCTCCACTAAATCAAAACTGCATGCAGAGTTACCCAAAAGTGTCTTCAAGGGAAGAACTACATAACTACACTATTGCATTTTATTGTCAGTAAACAATACACAAATATTCCTGAGTGCATCTGACACTGAGCTGAATCGAACAGTCTATGGATTTGTTCATACAAGTCAAGTTCATTTGCATGTAATTTAAAAAATAAATATGAGAACTTAGACTTCCAGGAAAACAACTTTGTTCCTTTAGATGTCAAAATGAATCAACTTTGTTATGGAAATGAAAAGCTGATTTTACTATGGAAACTCAATGAATTAGAAATCTCCCTGAACTTCTGTAATCATAGCTAAAATTAAATCAGGATATATTCATTAAAGCTCACTTCAGGAAAGAATCTTCCCTGTTCTAGGACATTTTTAAGATACCCTCCTAACTTCTTTTCAAAAATGCTTTCTCCTCTGATTTTTTTAATTTAGTAGGGGCTTAACTTCTACAAAACTAAAGTTGTGAAGCAAAAAAGTCTCCACTTTCCCTTTCATACTGTTTTGCTAGTCATCATTAATTGATGTAACAAGACATAGCTTTTTTGAGGCAAGCATTTCTGCTTTGAAGAAGAAATTGAGCATTATAATTCTTGTAAGCATAACATAACTGCAATGTTTTGGATTTCTGTATTTTATAAAAGCTACTCTTTTTCGTTAAATGTATGTTTTTTTATTCTCCAAGGATGAGACCCAAACCCCTTAAAGTATGTAAAGTTTCCAAATTACCAAAAACAGTTAAGTAGACTTAAAACGACTTATACACAAACTGGAAAATGTTTGTGGTTTTCTACAACAGAGAAAACAAATCTTGGAAAATATCTGGCTTAAGTAAGTTTATAGATCTTTCAGAAGGATATTAAAAACTAGCTTTGGACCTTTCAGATTTTTAATTTTCTCCTCCAACAGAAGAACACAAACTTAAACTACTTCACAAAGAACAAAGGTCAATCACACAGAATTTGTGAATTGCATCACACTACCATTTCATAAAACAGAAGTTTAAAAGCAACATACCTTCAAAGACATCTGTCATTTTGCAGATGTGAGCAAAAGTAGCTCCATTTGCCCAAGTGTATACTACATCCATCAGGTTAGGTCTGAAAGAGTTTAGGTAATTTTCCTCATCAATTTCCAATTTAGCTTCTGCTGAAACTTTGGCAATTCTTTTAGCACATTCCTTTAACAATAAAAAGGTTAGTTTTGAAATCAAGTTGCAGTGTGACAAATTCTTCTAAACCAGAAATTCATTGTTTACATAGAATTTGAAATCTAATTAGAATAAATGTAACTAAGCAATTTATAGTGCACTTATTAATCTATATGTTAAAATTTAAGACAGACATGTTTCACTGGCTAAACTCATGAAGGCCTCGCATTCAACTTCATGGCATTTCTGAATGTAACATGGTAACTTTTAAAGTCTACATCTGATCAATTTCGAAATTTCAGGTAACAGTCTAGACAGAGTACCAAAAGCCCTATTGATTTCAGGCAAAACTGGAAAACCAAAAAGAGGAAATCCAGGGGCATATGAAGCCTGTTGCATCAATTAGTGAGCTTCAAGAATCTCAGCAGTTGTCTGTAGAGCAAATAAGTCACTGAAAGCATCCAACTAATGCCTTCCAGCACATCACCAATGTGCTCCTCCTCCTAGTAGAGTTAACATGTTGACACTCTTTATCCCCAACTAACAATGGATGGTGAAGAGAACAGACGCATGCATACAATCCCTAGTATGGGGAGAAGCGGGGAGAACAGGTGACCCTGGTATATGGGACAAGAGAAGACAGAGCATGCAACCTATGGTGGAGAGAAATGGGAACAGAGCCCCAGTAGGGGGACTATTAGGGGATCCTGATGTGGAGAAGGGAGCATACAGAACCTTTGGCCTGGGGGAGGAAAGGGGGAAAATGGAGGTCATCAGAGTTCACAGCAAACTCCTGGCTGTGGGGAGCTTCAGGGAGTTCCAAAAATAGAAGGGGACAGGATGAGGAACACAGGGAGCCCTGTGGGAGTAGGAATGAAAGAATTCACAGGAATACATGGTGCATGCAATAAGCTTGGACTACAGAAACTATGATCCTCTAGTTTACATATACCTCAAAAACAGAATTTATAAACAAGAATATAAAAATGCACTATGTTGGCAAGGTCTTGTGCTACTACAATTAGACAAAAGAATTCCCCAGTTTTACCAGCCCCAACCCCCAGCCACTCTCACTCCTTCCCAGAGCGAGTCATATCTCAGCCCCGAGCCAGGCTCCCTGGATAACCAGCCTGCTACACTCTTCCCCAGAATTAAGTCTGACTTCTGTATTTCCACATGTGAGCTGTCCCACTGAAATCAAAGAGATCTGCATTGGAAAACTACCTGCATTTGCCGAAGTGGTCCTGCCAACTGCTCTGTCAATTTGGGCATCTCGCTAGACTGAAAAGGAAAAGAACAGAAACTCCATATTCCTCATGTAAATCAAGTTAAATGCAGTCTGCAACATTACCAGATATTTTAGTGCCATATTAAACATTTCCAACTCCCTCTGAAATCTGTTATCTCAAATACTAGACTCTACTTCAGGTAGGTTTATTTAAAAACAGAGGAGCTATCCATTTGTCCAGGTATTTTTAACATAAAAGTTAAAATATAAACAAACTGAACCCCAATACAAGTTTTGCTGTAAATGCAAATTTGCTACCTTTATCAGAAACACAGCAGTTTCAACAGTTACATTTACAATGTAAGTATGATTTCCGCTCAAAGCCAAGAGTGGATACTGTTGTGGTGCTCCTCCATTGAAATCTTCCCTCTAGTATCCAGAGAAGGCTAGACACATGTATTTTTGCTGGTTTGCTCCCAGCTTCCGGCCCCACTCCCAGAGAGCCCCACGCTACTGCCTCTGTAACAGAAACACAGTGTGGGGTGGCAGGGGGAGCCTATCCACAAGGGGAACTAGCTTAAAAATCAGCTCCCTGTGCAGACTGGCTCCTGCGGACAGGGGTGGCAGGCAGAAGCTGTTTTTTAAACCAGCTCCCTGCACAGACTACCTCCCACCTATAACCCTGAGTGGGGGACAGGGTGTTGCACTTAATCAGGACCGTTAACCGATAAACAATCGTTTGGCTAGCCACTAACATCCCTATTACTGAGAATGGTGGGACACAAAGCACTCAGCATCCAAACTGGACATGAAATCAGTTGCTGACTGGGGGAGCAGAACCTAACAGTGCCAGCGAATGATGCTGCAATGAGCATCAATGTTGGCTCATGGCAGTAGGCTTGCCATAGTGTCTCTGTGTCAGCAGTGCAGAGAAGGGTGCCAGTGCCAAAGGTGCTAGGGGGAGTCATAGCAGGGGCCACATACTGCACCACAGGAAGTTACTTGTGCCAGCTACAAGGCACTCTAAAGTTCACCAGAGGTTGACTTGGTGAGTGTGACCTGCAGCACCAAGACTGGACCAGGAGGTGGAGCCACAGGAGCTTACTGTCAGTGCCATCTTTGCCAGCAGTGCCACTTGCTGATGGAAAGACTGTTCAAGCATCATTGGTGCCGTAAACTCAATGAGGTTCCACATGGAAAAGGTACCAGGTGTGGAGGGCAAGTCCAGGTCCTCCTCCACCATCACGGGCTCTGGAAATTCACAGACATTGGACTTGATGGGGCCGCCCTGGGCCAACACCGCCCTGAGCCAAGGACAAGGTGCCTGACTTGGATCAGTTTGGCACTTTGCAGACTGCCCCCAGGGCCTTACCAGACTGTGCTGAGAAGCCCACCTTATGCATGGTGCTAATAATCCTATTGCTCCTCCTGTCTTGAGGCTGGCATGCTATGCACCAAGGGAGTTAAAGCTGCCAAAGTGCCAACTCCATTAGCAGCATCTTATGTGTCTGACCTGTTTCACATTTAATTTGGGGCTCAAAACTCCTGCAGATGCTACACTTGTCTTGTTGATGGCCTTCTTCAAGACACTGTAAACATGCAGCAAGTGGGTTGCCTCTAGGCATACGATTCCCACACCTAGCACATTGTTTAAACCAGTGGTCCCCAACCTTTCAGGGCTGCCAGGTGCCCAAGGGCAGAGCCACTCACGCACCGAGCACCCGGGGGCTGGGCCATGCACGTGTCCTGGGGTAGGGCCACCCATATGCCGCGTGCTCAGTGCCAGTGCCACCCATGTGCTGCACTCCCGGGGCAGGCGCCGGTCCTGTGCTGCACACCCAGGGATGGGGCTGCCCATATGCCATGTGCCCAGGGCCAGTGCCGCTCCTGTGCCACACACCCAGATGTGCCATGCACCCATACTCCACATGACCAGAGCCGGCGCCAGTCCTGTGCCGTGCGCCCAGGAGCTGGCAGCGCCCATGCGCCACGTGCCCGGGGGCAGGGCCGGCCCCGATCACTCAGTGGGCAAACAGAAATGGCCCGGTGGGTGCCACGGCGCCAACGGGCACCACGTTGGGGACCACTGGTTAAACCCTTGGGGCCACTGCATGCCCCACAGGCTTCCTGGATAGCAGACAGGAAAACCCCACAGAATAACTAATTCTGAGGAAGTGGGTCTGGCCCACGAAAGCTCATCATCTAATAAACCATCTTGTTAGTCTTTAAAGTGCTACATAGTCCTGTATTTTGTTTCAGCTACACCAGACTAACACAGCTACATTTCTATCACTAATTATCTAAACTAACTAATAACTCAAACTTCACACTATAAAGGAACTACTTGCTAAGCAAGAAGTCAGAAGTTCCAAAGACTGTAACTTACAGAAAGAAGGAATTGAAGCAGGAGTTGGGTTGAGATGGGTTTATATACAATGCTGTAAGGCATTGTACAGGGGTGCTACAGCCAATCCAACAGGTACCAACAGGGAAAACACTTCCGATGACCGTTCATGCGGTGCTCATGGACACATATAGGAATATACATGAGCAATCACTGAAAGAACTTTTTAGATAATGCAGAGATCATCCCTCCTATGTGGTGTTCTGCGCAAGGCAGAAATTAATATCCCTTTAAAGAGTACTTTAGGCAAACAAAACAGATCATAGTATTCCAGGTGCATCATGACACTTCCCATTCCCAACATGATCTCTTCTCTTTTGTTTGAAACTTCTTTTCCTTTTACACATAACCTAACATGCTGCTAGATTCAGTTTGTGCACCTGGGTATCGCACTCATCAAGGTAGTGCTCATTACACAACTCAGTATATGTAATTGATTCTTCTATCTCACCATGTTCATAATAAGGATGTTAAGTATCAGGTAACTGACTAATCAAATAGTCAATGCAGGAGAATAGTCAATTCTTGACCATCTGTACTTCAGTGAAATGAAAACCTGGAAATCTGATTTCAGTGTGGGTTCTAGGGTTTCCTAGGAAGCGAGTTTAGAATTCTGCTATAGCTTTGACAGAAACAAATCTGATTTATGAAGAGACACTCACATTCTCTTGAAATACAAAGCAGCTTAGTAATGCAGTTGCTTGTTCTGCAGATAAATCATTGAAAAGCCCATTAAACATCATTTCTGTCAGGAGCAGTTCGTCAGCACTACAATAAAGAAAAAGTAACAGACCTCTTAAAGTACTATTCCAATTTAAATACATTATAAAGTACATTGCATGCAAGAGAGAACAGCTTTTTAATTTGACAGTTTTCTGGAAAGCTGAAAATATTGACTTATGGAGGAAGGGAAAGAAGAAGCAAAATAGGTTTCTGAAAAAAAGTCCTTGTTAAACCAAAAAAACTTCAGTCAATCACAAAGAATCTCTTGCTAGTTTGAGAAACTAGGACTGCAGTTGTTACAGAAGAGATAATTAACAGGATACAATTTACATTTTCAAGATATTTAAGGGTATAGCACACATTTTAGTGTATTTATAACATATAAAGTAAACTTGGTCCTGAGTTTATATAAAAAACACATTGGCAGACAAATCATGAGTTCTCTTTGATTGGGCATCAGCTAAAAATACCATTGCACTTTTACTTCAGGCTTTTTCTAGGCAAATGTAGAATCACAGAATGGGAAGGAACCTCGAGTGGTCTAAGTCCAGCCCTCTGCACTCAAGGCATGACCAACCACTATCTAAGACCGTCCCTAATAGGTGTTTGTTTAACCTGCTCTTAAAAATCTCCAGTGAGAGATTTCACAACCTCCATAGGCAATTTATTACAGTGTTTAACAACCCTGAAAGTTAGGAAGTTTTTCCCCTAATGTCCAACCTAAATTATCTTGCTGAAATTTAAGCCCATTACTTCTTATTCTATTCTCAGGAGTTAAGAAGAACAATTCTTCTCCCTTATCACTGTAACAACTTTTTAGATACTTAATAACTATGTCCCTTCTAAGTTTTCTCTTTTCTAGACTAAATCCAGTTCTTTCAATCTTCCCTCATAGGTCATTGTTTTAATCAGTTTTGTTGCTTTTCTCCGGACTTTATCCAATTTGTCCACATCTTTCCTGAAATACTGCAATACTCCAGCTGAGGCCTAATCAATGCAGAGTAAAGCAGAAGAATTACATTTTGTTTCTTACATACAACACTCCTGCAACTACATCCTAGAATGATGTGTGGCTCAGACCAGTTATCCAGTTTGTCTAGATACATTTGAATTATAATCCCTTCCATTGTGGTATCATCCACAAACTTTACAAGTATATTCTTTAAGCCATTCTCTAAATAACTGAGCAAGATATTGAACAGAATTGGACCCAGAACTGATCCCAGCAGACCCCCACTTGTTATGCCCTTCCAGCATGATAGTGAACCATTGATAACTAGTCTCTGGGAAAAGTTATCCAACCAGTCATGTGCCCACTTTATAGTAGTTTTTCCTACTTTGTTAACGGGGTCAAGTGAGACTGTATCAAGTCTTACTAAAGTCTAGATATACCACATTTACCACCTTCCCCTTGTAAACAAAGCTTGTTACCATGTTAAAGAAAGCTGTTTGGTTTGACACAATTTGTTCTCGACAAACTCCTGCTGACTATTGCTTATCACCTTATCTTCCAGATATTTGCAAACTGATTCCTTACCATCATCATTCCTGGTATAGAAATTAAGCTGACTAGTTGTAATTTCATGGGCCAGTGGTCCCCAACCTTTCAGGGCTGCTGGGCGCCCGGGGCAGAGCCACTCACACGCTGAGAACCTGGGGGTGGGCACGTGCATGTGCCCGGGGGTGGAACCACCCATATGTCGTGTGCTCAGTGCTGGTGCCACCCATGTGCTGCATTCCCGGGGCAGGCGCCGGTCCTGTGCTGCACGCCCAGGGATGGGGCTGCCCATATACCATGGGCCCAGGGCCAGTGCCGCTCCTGTGCCACGCACCCAGATGTGCCATGCACCCATACGCCGCATGACCAGGGCTGGCACCACTCCTGTGCCGCGCGCCCAGGAGCTGGCAGTGCCCATGCGCTACGTGCCTGGGGGCAGGGCCAGCCCCGATCACTCAGTGGGCACACAGAAATGGCCCGGTGGGTGCCACGGCTCCCACGGGCACAACGTTGGGGACCACTGTCCTGGGCTATTCTCATTTCCCTTTTTAAATACAAGCATTATATTTGCCCCTTTTCAGTCTTCTGGGCTCTCTCCCATATTCCATGAGTTTTCAGAGAGAATAACTAATGGCTCAGATATCTCCTCAGTCAGTTTCTAGAGCATTCTAGGATGCTTTTCATCAGGCTGTGGTAAAAGGGGTAACCTACCTCTACAGTAACTGGTGTTCTTTGAGATAAGTGTCCCCATGGGTGCTCCACATTAGGTCGGTGTGCCACTGCCGAGCCCAGTGACAGAGATTTTGACAGCCACACACTCCCTGAGACAGCCACACACTCCCTGACTGCGTAGACTGCACATGCATGAGCCTCCTCCCTCCCCCAGTTCCTTCTCTACGCTGGAATCTGCTATCAGATGAGCATAACCCCAAAATAGAGAGGAGGAAGGGAGGGTAGTGGAGCACCCATGGGGACACTCCTCTCGAAGAACATCAGTTACTGTAGAGGTAGATAACCTCCTTTTCTTTGAGAGAGATGTCCCTATGGGTGCTCCACATTAGGTGACTACAAAGCCATGTCTCCTCAGGGAAGTAGGGATTTCGGGTCAGGAAGGAAGACAGCAGATAAGACAGATTTTGAGAATTTGAGATTCAATAGAGGGCCCTGTAAGAGTGCATAGTGTTTCCCAAATAGTGGTCTAAGGACCATGTAGCGGCAAAGCGTACGTCTGCTAGGACTCATCTAGAATGCGTTAGAGTGTCGAAAGAGGACATGCAGAAGAAGTGTAAGAACAAAAGAACATCATTTTTTGAAGTTTACGCGGCTTTTCGACAAGGGGGAGGTTCGCCAAAAAAGCCATGTTTAACTACTTTCACTTCTGAATGCTCTGCTTTTGAAAAGACAGGACTACTCAGCACTTTAAATACTAACAAGATGATTTATTAGGTGATGAGCTTTCGTGGGCCAGACCCACTTCCTCAGATCAAATTGTGGAAGAAAATTAGCATGACCATATATACCAACGGGATACAATAAAAAAAAAGTGAACACATAAAATTGACAAATCAGATTTTAGAACAGAGAGGGGGAGGTTAGTGTCTATGAGATAATGATATTTGGGGTGATAATTGGGGAAGTTATCTTTGTAATGGGGAAGATAATTAGCATCTTTGTTAAGGCCCATTTGTAAAGTGTCAAATTTAAGCATGAATGACAGGACCTAACTGTTAGTTACAAGATCAAGAACACATATTCCTGTTTATCCAGAAATATAATTTATGCCATCATGTGCCAACAGTGTCTGTCTGCTATGTATATTGGACAAACTTCTCAGACACTTCACCAAACAATCAATGCACACAAAACAGACATCAGACAGTTTCACAAAGAAAAAACAGTTTCTTGCCATTTCAGCCAGACTGGGCATTGTCTCAATGACCTGACTACATGCATCCTGCTTCAAAGGGACTTTAACACAAGACTACAAAGTGAAGCCTCAGAACTGTCATTCATGCTTAAATATGACACTTTACGAATGGGCCTTAAAGATGCTAATTATCTTCCCCATTACAAAGATAGCTTCCCCAATTATCACCCCACTATCATTATCTGAGACACTAACCTCCCTTCCTCGTCCCCCCTCTGTTCTAAAATCTGATTTGTCAATTTTATGTGTGTTCACTTTTTTTTTTTATTGTATCCCTTTGGTATATACGGTCATGCCAATTTTCTTCCACAATTTGATCCGAGGAAGTGGGTCTGGCTCACAAAAGCTCATCACCTAATAAACCATCTTGTTAAGACTTTAAAGTTCTGCATAGTCCTGTCTTTTGTTTCAGCAAGACCAGACTAACACGGCTACATCTCTATTACTATTCTGCTTTTGAAAGTGAGATCGAAAGAAGATATGCAAATTCCCGTGGAATTTGTATATCCTCTTCCGACACTCTAGTGTAGTCTAGATGAGCCTTGGTGGGACCTTCCTGAGGAAGGCAATAGAAGTGGAAACAGCCCTAGTGGAATTCTGTCTGGAGGAGCCACTCGGGTTTCCTCATAGCAGAGTTTGATACAGTCCGCTATCCAATGCGACAGTCTCTGCAAAGACAGAGCACAGCCCTTATTGTGGTTCGCTATAGAGACAGAGTCTACGAGAGAATAAGAAGGGTTTGGTGCATTATAGGTAGAAAGAAAGAGCTCTAAAGAGATCAAGGGTATGCGTCCTGGTTTCAAAGTCATTTACATGGGGCTTTGGAAAAAAGGTAGGCAAAGTGAATGGTCTGGTTGAGGTGAAATGAGGAATGTATCTTTGGGAGGAATCTGGGAGGGGTGCATAATGTGACCTTGTCCTTGAAGAAAATGGTATAGGAAGGATCGGCCATGAGGGCTGCGATTTCTCTAACTCTTCTAGCTGAGGTAATGGCAACGAGGAATGCTGTCTTTATGGACAAGTGCAGCAAGGAGCCCAAATCCATGGGTTCAAAGGGCTTCTCTCATACACGTTTAGTACCAGATGGAGGTCCCACGGTTGTAGAGGTGGAGCTATGTCCAGATAAAGTGCTTGGAGTCACTTCAAAAATCTGCGTGAGTGGATGCGCAAAGACTGAAGTGTTGTCGATATTGACATGGAAGGTGGTAATAGCAGCAAGATGGACCCTCATGGAAGTTAGCGCCAGGTGGGTCTGTTTGAGGAGAGGAGTTAGTCAAGGTTAGTTGGTATTGGTGCTGTGGATGGTGACAGGTTCTTTTGAGCGCACCATACTGAAAACCTCCTCCACTTGTGCACATAAGTTTTGTGCGTGCTAGGGACTCTGCTGTGGAGGAGAACTGTTTGTACTTTGTGGGAACATGAAAGCTCTATGCCCGAGAGCCATCGAAGAGCCAAACCATGAGGTGGAGAGAGACGAGATTCGGGGGCTTCGTCTGCGACAATGGGAGGAGGTGGTGGTCCCGGAGGAGACGTAAGTGGATGGGCTGACCGAGGGACATTCTGATAAAGAATGGGAAACGGCTGTCGAGGCCTTGTCTCTCCTGATTTTGTGTAACACTC